CTAAATTAACCTCATTGAATGAGGAATATGAACTGTAAGATGGTGTTTATCTATCTTGACAACATTGTAGGTCTCTCTTGCATCTTCAATAGGGTTTCGATTGCTTTATCATTATGGACTAAAACTCCACAGCAGGTGGATCCCGACAAATTGGCCTCTGATTCAAATAAGAATGGATGCTGGTCAGTATCCCAAGCAGCTACTGAGGTCAAAGTATTCCTGGGTTTGCAGGATACTATCAATGATATGAGGTCATGCTGCATTTTCTTGTCCAACCCCCTTTGTGTGACATGGAGAGCAGCAAGAAGTATGCCTTTCATGCAGAACCTTGTGCTAGATTATGGCAACTTCAAGATACCATTAAGGTTCTGTACAGATGGAAGTCTACAATTGCCAGTGGTGGTATTTTATCAAGGATGGGGGATCACTTTTGCCAAAAGAAGAATTAAACCCAAATAAATAAAACTAATTTAAAGTGAGTTCTATCAAACCTAGGGCCTCTGGAGCATATTCACCTTGGAAAGTGCAACTTCCCTTCAAAGTGAACAGATTTCTTGCTTATTGTAAAAGAACCCCTATATATTGAGCATGTCGAGAGTATATTATGAGGATACATGGAAGGGTTTGCACATCCTCCCTATATGTGAGCTACAAACAGGTAGACCAGGGGTGGACTGACAACTCATTGGGCCCCCGGGCAATAGGGGATTATGGGGGCCCCTGTGTCCTTGCCCAAACTCAAAAAAGCCTATGAAAAAGGTACCAGGGGCATCTCATGGGGCCCCCTACTGACCCTGGGCCCTCGGGCAGTGCCCGAGTTTCCAAATGGTCAGTCCGCCCCTGAGGTAGACAATCAAAAACTAAAGCCAAAAAATTAAACACAGTGTGCAACTGAGAGTAGTATATACTGTATAAATAAATGCAATAAATGCATTCATCAGTCCCTCTTCTTGGCCTGCTGCTATGCTAAGGAACAGTATACCAGTTTTTCTGTTCAGAAGGGCTTGCCATTCAGGCATAGTGCTAACAAAAAGCGCTGCTAAAAGAATATGCAGGAGTCTTCTAGTACCTGCAATTGTACCTGCTAGCAACGTTATACAATATTTACAGGGGAATTCAGTAAGGCTAGGTTCACACCTATGCAGTTTGTGTTGACCCATTTTTGCTTTGAGTTTTGCGTTGCTTTTATGCACCTGCATTTTTGCCATGTTTTTGCTGTGTTTTTTAATGTTTTTTTTTTTTTCTTGCTGCTAGGCAGATTTAAAATGCAAAATGCATCAAAAACGCAGCAAAAACACAGCAAAAATGCACTACATGCTTTTCTGCAGTATTTCCATTAAAGTCTATGGAACTAAAAATGCACCTTTTTATGTTAACCACTTGCCTACCAGGCACTTATACCCCCTTATTTACCAGGCCAATTTTCAGCTTTCAGCGCTGCCGCACTTTGATTGACAATTGCGCGGTCAAGCAACATTGTACCCATATGAAATTTTGATCCTTTTTTTTTTCTCACAAATAGAGCTTTCTTTTGGTGGTATTTAATCGCCACTGGGCACTTTACTTTTTGCGCTATAAATAAAACAAGTGCAAAAAATTTGAAAAAAAAAGTTTCTTTGTTTCTATTATAAAATTTTTCAAACAGGTATTTTTTTCTCCTTCACTGATGTGCGTTGATGAGGCAGCACTGATGGGCACTGATAGGCGGCACTGATGGGCACTGATAGGCAGTATTAATGAGGTGGCATGGATAGGCGGCACTGATAGACAGCACTAATGAGGTGTCACGGATAGGCGGCACTAATATGCAGCACTGAAAGGCGGCACTGATAGGTGACACTGATGATGGGTACTGATAGACGGCACTGACTGGTATCACTGCTGGGCACTGACTGGCGGCACTGACTGGCACAACCCCTGGGCACTGACTGGTGGCACTGACTGGCAGCACTGCTGGGCTGCACTAGTGGGTGGCACTGGTGGGCAGCACAGGTGGGTGGGCACAGGTGGGTGGCACTGGTGGGCACAGGTGGGTGGCACTGCTGGACACAGGTGGGTGGGCACAGGTGGGTGGCACTGCTGGGCACAGGTAGGTGGCATTTCTGGGCACAGGTAGGTGGCACTGCAGAGTGGCACAGGTGGGTGCACTGCTGGGCACAGGTGGGTGCACTGCTGGGCACAGGTGGGTGGAGCTAGTGGGCGCACTGCTGGGCATAGGTGGGCGGAGCTTGCAGGTGGCACTGCTGGGCACCGATCATCAGGGCACTGATCATCAGTGCCCTGATGATCGGTGCCGATCCCCGCTCTGACAACTGCCGGTCCTCGGCAGTACTTTCCTCACGATCTGACAGCGTGAGGAAAGTGCAGCCGAGAACCGGCACTTGCATTTCCCTGTGATCAGCGTGTCATTGGACACCGCTGATCACGTGGTAAAAGGCCGCTGTGATTGGCCTTTTACCACATCACGTGATCAGCTGTGTCCGTAGGACACAGCAATCACGGAGATCGCCGGGGTGCGCGCCCCCTGGGGCGCGCAGGAGAGCGCGTTCTGGGAGGACGTCATATGACGTCCACTCAGAACTGGGCCGGCCGCAGTGCAGCCGTCATTCGGCTATCTGCGGTCGGCAGCTAGTTAAAAAAAAGTCCCTGACAATTTCCAAAAAACGCACTGGTTGAAAACGCGGAGATTTGAACATGTCCCATAGGAAATCATGTTAAATGGACTGTACTGTGTTTCTGCAAAATGCTGCAGAAAATGCTTAGATGCGTTAAAGGGTTACAGCGGAGCTGCACCCACAAGGGGAAGTTCCCCTTTAAGGACTGCTCCCCTGCTCCCCATTAAAGATTGGCACCTTTGGTGGGTGAGGGGAGCGTGTACCCGAATTTGACAGGTAACCGCTCCCACTTCCAGTCTGATTGCCTAGGCGATTGGAAGCGGTAGGTGTCCTAGCTGTAGTCTTTGGGACAGGTGACAGGTTCCAGAAGACTACAGGACCATGCACGAAGAGCAGCGCTACTCGTGCATGCGCAGTGGGTACCCGGCTGTGAAGCTGCTAGCTATCACAGCCGGATGCCCACACTGAAGATGCCGGCCTCCTGGGATAAAGGATGGCCGGTGAAACAAGCTGCAGGGGGGACACTGCGAGACCGAGGGACAGGTAAGTGGCTGTTTTTTAAAAATCAGCAGCTACAGTTTTTGTAGCTGCTGACTTCTATTTTTTGACAGCGTGAGTGGAACTCCGCTTTAAGCACTAATGTCACGTTTCTGGTAATATGGTCCCTTTAACAAGGCCTGCACCTATTTCTTGAAAGCCTTGCCATTTCAGGCACTGGTACCAACACATGTGCTAGATTCAGGTAGTTCATACTGCCGCTCCTTTTACAATCTGTGACAGATTCTAAATGAACTACCACCAGATTATTGCACGATCGCCTCGAAAGCGGTATTTTTCATATGATTTTTTGATTGTGTGTACTAGGCTTTTTAAGAGGAAAATGAGCATCGATCTCAGAGGTGATAATGCAGATCAAGTTCCTGCGGATAACCTGAATAGACATTCATTTGTTCAGGCAGAGATTAAGCAACACAGCGATAGTGGTCATGAAAAGTTCACCAACCACCAAGAAGCAGCAATATTTGGGATGAAAGATCTGATAGACTTTAGATGGATTGCTGCCAGCACTCAGCCTAAGGGTGCTGGAACAGTAGAATGTTTCTTGTAAAGAACAGTTGCTCTGTCATGATCTGTGCCTCATTCAGGCTTCAAATCAGTGTACTGCTCATGCTAACTGTTATGGTGCTTCAGTGATGATGAGAACACCACATACTACTGACAGTGGGGCTGAAATGAGAGGTCACAGTCCCTATGAGTGTGGGGACTGTGCAGGGGCGGACTGACAACTCATGGGGCCCCCGGGCATTAGGGGATCATGGGGCCCCTGTGTCCTTGCCCAAACTCCAAAAAGCTTATCAAAAAGGTACCAGGGGCATCTCATGGGGCCCCCTACTGACCCCGGGCCTTCGGACAGTGCCCGAGTTTCCAAATGGTCAGTCCTGTCCCTGGGACTGTGTATGTCATATTTCCAAGAAAGGTGTTAGTAGTCACAATGAAGGATATATGTTGTCCTCCTTTACATAGCTGGCCAGGCTCAAGGAGGAATCCTCAGACTTCCAGGGCTTTAGACTACAGCTATACTACTTTTAGGCCTTTCTACTACTTTTAGGCCTAGGAATGAGCCAGAAGCATCACTGCAAAAGTTATAGCTGCACAAAAGTGATTATTCATCTCATCAATACATGTTCCCAGTGTGAAAATTAACCCATAATATCTCTCCTGCTCTAAGGAGCCTGTAGTATGTGCCAATTACCATGAAAGAATGGTATCCTGTGCGTCTGCATGGAGTACAGATCATGTAACTCATGTACTGTTTATACAGGTTGAGTTGTACCTGACAGCTTTGGAACCCTCTAACTATTTTTAAGCTATAGGCTTTCAGCCTGAATATGTATCTTTCTGTCCATACAGAGAACAGAAAAAGACTTCACCTCGCTGATTATTCTTTTTGAGTTTGTATATGCTGTGGGCATATGATTGGCCCCAGCACTTTAGATACTTTTAAAGGTCAATTTATTAAAGACAAATAGGCAATTCACTTTCCAAGGAAATTATCCCCAGAGCTTAATGAATGCGGTAAAACTCTGTTGACTAACATCTTCCATTCATATGCAAGAAGAAAAATGCTGCTTTTGTATTATCCTTGCATGTGATTGGATATTCTTTGTAAAGTGAAGTTTCTCCACATTGTATTTATTTATTACAGGTACTTATATAGTGCTGTCCATTTACACAGTGCTTTACATATATTGTTCATTCACATCAGTCCCTGCCCGCAAGGAGCATACAATCTAAAGTCCCTAACCTACATTCATATGCTAGGGTCAATTTACCTACCAGCATGTCTTTGGAGTGTGGGAGGAAACTGGAGTACCCGGAGGAAACCCACACAGGCACAGGGAGAACATGCAAACTCCACACAGGTAGTGCCGTGGCCCAGATTTAAACCAACAACCAGGGGCGGACTGACAACTCATGAGGCCCCTGGGCAATAGGGGATCATGGGGACCCTGTGTCCTTGCCCAAACTCAAAAAAGCCTATGAAAAAGGTACCAGGGGCATCTCATGGGGCCCCCTACTGACCCCAGTCCCTCAGGCAGTGCCCGAGTTTCCAAATGGTCAGTCCACCCTGCCAACAACCCTAGTGTTGCTAGGTGGAAATTCGAACTACTTAGCCGCTGTACTACCCAAATTCACCAAGCTCTGGGGAAAATGTCCTTGCAAAGTACAACTTCACTTGCACAATGACCAGCCTAATTGCTCTTACTAAATTAACCTCATTGAATGAGGTCCAAGGAATATGAACTGTAAGATGGTTTTTATTTATCTTCACAACATTGTAGGTCTCTCTTGCATCTTCAAAAGGGTTTCAATGGCTTTGTCATTATGGACATATACATATACCCCACAGCAAGTGGATCTTGACAAATTGGCCTCTGATTCAAATAAGAATGGATGCTGGTCAGTGTCCCATGCAGCTACTGTGGTCAAAGTATTCCTGGGTTTGCAGGATACTATCAATTTTATTTATTTATTTCAGGTAATTTATATAGCACCGTCAATTTATGCAGCGCTTTACATGTATATTGTACATTCACATCAGTCCCTAACCCTCAATGTACAATCTAAGGTCCCTAACTCACATTCATACATACTAGGGACATTTTAGACAGGAGCCAATGAACCTACCAGCATATCTTTGGAGTGTGGGAGGAAACCAGAGTACCTGGAGGAAACCCATACAGGCACAGGGAGATCATGCAAACTCCAGGCAGGTGGTGCCAGTATTTGAACCAGCAACCCTAGTACTGGCAGGCTAACATGCTAACCATTTAGCCACTGATATGAGGTCATGCTAAATCACCTAATCCAACCCCCTTTCTGTGACATGGAGAGCAGCAAGAAGCGTGCCTTTCATGCAGAACATTGTGCTAGGTTATGGCAACTTCAAGATACTATTAAGGTTATATACAGATGGAAGTCTATAATTGCCAGTGGTGGTATTTTATCAAGGGTGGGGTGGGGGGGGGGGGGGGGCATAAAAGGGTTGTCACTTTTTTCAATAGAAAAATTAAAATTAAAATAAAACTCATTTAAACTGAGTTCTGCCAAACCTAGGGCCTCTGGAGCATATTCACCTTGTAAATTGCAACTTCCCTTGCAAAGTGTACAGATTATTTGCCTATTGTAAATCAACCCCTATATGTTGAGTGTAAATTATTGAGTAGGTTGAGAGTATATTATGAGGGTGCATAAAAGGGTTTGCTCATCCTTCTTATCTGTGACCTACAAACGTGTAGACAATCAAAAAACTAAAGCAAAAAAATAAAAAAAACAGTGTGCAACTGAGAGTAGTATACTGTATATAAGCAAATGCAAGGTTTAAATGCATTAATCAATTCCTATTCTTGGCCTGTTGCAATGCTAAAGAACAGTATGCCTAGATTCACACCTATGCTTTTTTCTGCTGCGTTTTGTATTTTGCAGAAATGCACAGCAGTCCATTTAACATGATTACCTATTGGACAGGGTCACATTTCCACGTTTTTACTCTGTGCGGTTTTTGGAAGGGGTCAGGGACATTTTAAAATGCAAAATGTTGCACTTTTCGTTATATAGACTCCAATGGAGATGGTGCAGAAAAGCATGTAGTGCGTTTTTTATGTGTTTTTGATGCATTTTGCGTTTTATTCTGCCCAGCAACAAGTTGAAAAAAAAAAAAGCCACAAAAAGCATTAAAAAATGCATCAATATCGCATCAGAAATGCACCACAAAAAAGCACTGCAGAAATCGATCAAAAGCAAACTGCATAGGTGTGAACCTAGCCTATAACAGTTCAGAAGGGCTTGCCATTCAAGCTTAGTACTAAGAAAAACTGCTGCTAAAAGTATGTGCATGAAACTTGTAGTGCCTGCAATTGTACCTGCTATCAACTTTATACAATATATACAGGGGAATTCAGTAAAGCAATAACGTCACGTTTCTGGTAATATGGCCCCTTTAACTACCTGCCGACCGCAGATAGCCGAATGACGGCTGCACTGCGGCCGGCCAGTTCTGGGTGGACGTCATATGACGTCCTCCCGGAACGCGCTCTCCTGCGCGCCCCAGGGGGCGCGCACCCGGCGATCTCCGTGATTGCTGTGTCCTACGGACACAGCTGATCATGTGATGTGGTAAAAGGCCAATCACAGCGGCCTTTTACCACGTGATCAGCGGTGTCCAATGACACGCTGATCAGAGGAAAATGCAAGTGCCGGTTCTCGGCTGCACTTTCCTCACGCTGTCAGATCGTGGGGAAAGTACTGCCGAGAACCGGCAGTTGTCAGAGCGGGGATCGGCACCGATCATCAGGGCACTGATGATCAGTGCCCTGATGATCGGTGCCCAGCAGTGCCACCCGCAAGCTCCGCCCACCTATGCCCAGCAGTGCGCCCACTAGCTCCGCCCACCTGTGCCCAGCAGATCACCCACCTGTGCCCAGCAGTGCACCCACCTGTGCCCAGCAGTGCACCCACCTGTGCCACTCTGCAGTGCCACCCACCTGTGCCCAGAAGTGCCACCCACCTGTGCCCAGCAGTGCCACCCACCTGTGCCCACCCACCTGTGCCCACCTGTGCCCACCCACCTGTGCCCACCCACCAGTGCCACCCACCAGTGCTGCCAGTCAGTGCCACCAGTCAGTGCCCAGGGGTTGTGCCAGTCAGTGCCGCCAGTCAGTGCCCAGCAGTGATGCCAGTCAGTGCCGTCTATCAGTACCCATTATCAGTGTCACCTATCAGTGCCGCCTATCAATGCTGCATATTAGTGCCGCCTATCCGTGACACCTCATTAGTGCTGTCTATCAGTGCCGCCTATCCGTGCCACCTCATTAGTACTGCCTATCAGTGCCCTTTAGTGCTGCCTATCAGTGCCCATCAGTGCTGCCTCAGTGCTGCCTCATCAACGCACATCAGTGAAGGAGAAAAATTACCTGTTTGAAAAATTTTATAATAGAAACAAAGAAACTTTTTTTTTTTTTTTCAAATTTTTTGCAATTTTGTATTTATAGCGCAAAAAGTAAAGCGCCCAGTGGCAATTAAATACCACCAAAAGAAAGCTCTATTTGTGAGAAAAAAATGATCAAAATTTCATATGGGTACAATGTTGCATGACCGCGCAATTGTCAATCAAAGTGCGGCAGCGCTGAAAGCTGAAAATTGGCCTGGTAAATAAGGGGGTATAAGTGCCTGGTAGGCAAGTGGTTAACAAGGCCTGCACCTAATTCATGAAAGCCTTGCACTTTCAGGCACTGAAACCAACACATTTTTGTGGAGAGGAGATCAGGGGCGGACTGACTTCTCATGGGGCCCCCGGGCAATAGGGGATCATGGGGCCCCTGCATCCTCACCCACACTCAAACCACACCCAAAAAAGCCTATGAAAGGCACCAGGGGCATCTCATGGGGCCCCCTACTGACCCTGGGCCCTTGGGCAGTGCCCAAGTGCCCAAACGGTCAGTGCGCCCCTGGAAGGGATTATGGTGTGGGGTTGGGCTTGGGCCCCTCAGCTCTAATGATGGCTCCTTCCTGTTCCAACATGACTGCACACCAGTGCGCAAAGCAAGGTCCATAAAGACATGGATGAGCATGACTGGCCCGCACAGAGTCCTGACCTCAACCCGATAGAACACCTTTGGGATGAATTAGAGCAGAGACTGCGAGCCAGGCCTTCTTGTCCAACATCAGTGCTTGACCTCACAAATGCGCTTCTGGAAAAATGGTCAAACATTCCCACAGACACACTCCTAAGCCTTGGCACTTCTAAAAGACTGGGATGCCATTAAAGTTCATGTGTGTGTAAAGACAGGTGTCCCAATACTTTTGGCAATATAGTGTAGCTTTGGATTCTGGTGTAGTGGCCCCATAGATCAATCAGAAAAGATCCAACATAGGTTTGGTGTTTTACTGACATCTAGTGGTATATGTTATAATTACATGGATTATCAGAGAATTGTTTTGTAGTGAATATGCTGCAGAACATGTGTCATATTGTTACTGTATATTTTTTTTAAATGATTTACTTGCTACATTTAATTTGTTTCTTTACAAGTCAAATAATATAGCATACATTCTTGCAATCTGGTAAATCTAGCATGTCTGTAAGATTACAAGTGAAGTTCAGCAGTGTAAAATTGATTTTACTTTGATTTGTAAAGGAAAAGTTGTGATCTTCTAAACCAATGGTCTCCAAACTGTGGCAATGGAGGCTGGATGCTGTCCTTTCTTTGCCTTTATCCAGTCCTTGGGGCACTATTCCTCCCATTGACGTCACTTATGGGGCACCATTCCCTGACACAAACAATGGGGCACTATTCCTGCCAAACAATAATGGGGCACTATTCCTGCCACTAATGCCAACAATGGGGAACTATTCCTGCCACTAATGCCAACAATGGGGCACTATTGCTGCCACTAATGCCAACAATGGGGCACTATTCCTGCCACTAATGCCAACAATGGGGCACTATTCCTCCTAATGCCAACAATGGGGCTCATATTCCTCCAGCAATAGGGCAATATTCTTCCCATTAAAACCATTGATGGGGTATTGCTTACTCCCAGTGATGGCAGGGCATTTGCTACCCCCACTGGTCACAGTCTGGCTCCCTAAAGCTGGAAGGACAGTAAAGAAGCACTGTTTAGTAAGTAGGGAGACCCTTGTTCTAGACTGAGCAGGTTAGCTTATTGACAAGCCACTGAAATAAGCAGATTATTATTTGTTATGATGGCTATTACCTACAGGACTATATAACACAGAAAGATTAATAGAAAAATTAATAAAAATAATAATATACAGTGTATTGGTACCTTCTATCATAGTCATAGCTCTTATTAGCACTTAGTAATGTTTACATTCTGACAGATTTACAATAAATACTCTGTGCTTGGCTTTCTTAATCAATTATTTGTTTGTAGAAATTTTGTTAGCAGGCCCCTCAAGAAATACATTGGATCAACAAAAGCCCCCCTTCATTTTTTCATTTGCCCCAAAGAAAGTAGGCAAAACTCTCTTGTTGTATTTAAAGTATAACTAAAGGCAAAACATTTTTTCAGCTTTGGATAGAGTGGGGATGGATTAGAACCCCTGTCAGCCGGGCCAGTGCTAGACTGTTTTGCACCCTAGGCAAGGCCAGTTACGTGTGCCCTGTCCCCCCCAATAAATAAATAAATTAAAATGTTTAAAAACAGTAGAAAATATTAAATGAACAAAACATGTAACTGCTACATTTCTTTTAATTTGCAAAAATAAGTGCCATAAGATGCCACCAGCACCAATATAAAAGAGAAAATCAGTGTCACAGATGGACTGTATCTGTGGCTGGCAGTGGCAGGGTGACAGTTACAGTGAGTGGAGGATGATGGATCCACACTCTGACAGATCCCAGGCAGGAATTCCCCAGGCAATGGGGGGCAGATAAAATGCTGTCACAGCAGGCAGCTGAACTGAGTGATCACACACAGTGACAGATCTGACACAACACACCACCACCAACACTGACACAGATCAGCAGGTACAGCAGGCACTAGAAGAGCAGGCTGTGGGATTGTGATGATGTCATCACCCACTGACACATTGCACATGTGATGGATGGCCAGCCGGGCAACACTCACACAGACACGTAACATCAGAGTCAGACAATTACATTTCTCCGCAGGCGCAGCTCCGCCTCTGCTGATGAATGGGAGGAGAAGGGCCGGAACTCCACAGTGATCAGCAGCTGCCAGCTAGCTTGCAGTAAGGAACTGAGTCTAAGAGGAACACTGGAAGGAGCTGTAGCTCAGCTGCTACACTGGCCCCAGACACCTGGCATCTTCCTCTGTCCTTTTTTCCTCCCCTCTGCCACCCCCTCCCCCCTCAGCTGAAGGATCATTCATGATGTGGCGGAATCCCACACAGAGAGAGTGATGTCCTGTGTTGCTCCCAGATGCCGCTAGGTGGCAGTGAGCCATAGACTGCTGCCTAGTTTGGAAGCATCAGTCCTGCCTGTTTGTTTTTGTTGCTGTCTGTGCCCCCGTTAAGGAGATTCTGTCTTCCTTACCATTATTATTGAAAGTGACAGTAAAAGAAAATCCCAAATTTTGGGTTGTCCCCAGAAAAGTAATAGGGGGGAAATCTTCCAATAGGGACACTAGTTCTGGTGAACTGGAGGTCCCCAAGAAATTTCCTTAATTTGCAGGGATTTTCTCTCACTTCCTGTTTAGCTATCAGACAGGAAGTGAAGGGAAATCTCTGCAATGGGACACAGATGGCGAAAAAAAAAAAATCAAACTGGAGGTTATAACTCTCTCTTACTCTATCCAAAATGAAAAAAAATTTTTGGTCTATAGTTCCACTTTAATATTTCTAATAGCTCATAATTTTAAGCAAGATACATTAAAAAAAAAGATTTTTATTTAGGCTGAGCTTTTTTTAAAACTCAGAAAGTAAATTGTCCAGATACAGTATGTTAGGTTTTAACAGGAGTGGCAATCAATGAAACATACTATATACCAGTGTACTGTGTGTTTGCTGTCTGCTATTGAGTTATTTTTGGTTTTATTTTTATTTTTGTCTGGGTGTGTATGTATGTAAATGTGTACATGTATGTATGCATATATATGTGAAAGTGTGTCTGTATGTAAGTATGTTTGAGTAGCAAGATTATTAGTAATAAGTATAATATATTAGAATTATTACTTATTGTATACTTTTATACTGATGGGAAGTTAGATAATTTAATATTATTATGGAGAAGGGTGGTATTAAATAAGCGGTGCTTCTTCTCACTCCTTTTCAGATATGTAGATCAAATTATTTTGTTTTGTTTACAGTTTTATGGTTTCTTGTAATCAGTTTTGTTTGTGTCTGTCTACTACTGTATGATTACTTTGTTATATCTTCTATTTATTTTTTTTACATGTTCGAAATAATCTTCTACTACTACTATTACTACTACTACCAGTGTACCAGTGTAGTAAATTATGCACTCATTTACAAAAAAAAAACAAACAAACTGCAGTCACAAAGCACCCTCTGCTTTGGGTAGCATTATCTACAATACTTTGACAATTATGCATTTAAAGTAGAACTAAAGACAAACTTTTTTTTTACATTTTTGATAGGTAAGGGAGAGGTATTTTTGCCATCTGTTTCCCATTGAGGAGATTAACCTTCACTTCCTGCCCCATAGCCAAAACAGGAAGGGAGAGGTGTAGCAATTGTGCATACAGAGATGGACGCGGTCATCCATCTTGCTAAGGATCCTCCATCTTGTTTCATTTCTACTCCCAAACCAGCTTCCCTCCAATTTCCCCCCTCCCTCAGGAATGTGGTCTGTATGATGCCAGTGGGAGAGCTCCATGGTTATAAATCCCAAAGTAGCTGGTGCCCAGGTGTCTGTTAGCTTCTCAATCTGAGATATCGTAAAACCATAAACCAGTCCTGCACTGAGCTTCAAAGACATTCCAGCTAGCTGTAAAATAGACTCACATTTAAAAATCCCCTTTTCCATATAATTTTATATCTGGAGATATGGAGGACTTACAAGGAAACCAGGCGTATATTCAGATCGGTCACTTTAATACAAGTTGGCTGATATATTACACCCCCTAGCTGAAATCTACAGGAGAGCAGAAAATAATATCTCCTTAACCGTCCCAAGCAGGTATGTCGTATTTAATATCTAGACGTTCAGCAGATTCTTCTGCATATTAATCTACTAGTGGCAAGGCTGTTACATGCACTGAGGGTAAGTTATGGATCATGATATAAACTGTGAGGGATTTTGGTTCTAGGTTGGGTCTCCGCCTGCAACACCCTCCCCAAATGAGGCGATTGGTTCTCTGCTTCAAGGAGACACCCTGCTGAGTTCCTAGAAAAGCTGCTATGCTTGGAGCAGAGAGTTAGTTAAGTTAAGCTGAGTAGATTGAGTTGAAGTTGAAGAATCCTCCCTTTTAACATCGGAACCAACTTTGGGAGATAAGGCACCCTTTTGGCTCAGGAAACTTGATCTGCTTAACCCAGGACTTTTGGCAAGTACTCTGTTTCTCTAAACTTCTTTCTGTTATCTCTTTGCTGTGTTATTGCTCTCTGTATATTTATATATATAGATATTGGCTACATCTTTTTCTGTAAATATTTTTATTGCACCCTTTTGACCTTTTAGTAATAAATCTTACTTTCTGAAAGTGTTGAACTGTTTTTAAAGCTCTTTAATGCAAACTAAGAATCCCTGTCTCTGAAGAGCGCTACTGTGTGTTTTTAAAACGTCTGCATACATATGTCTGCAGTGACATTGTGTATACAAACGATTATTCAAACATCATAGTGTTATTGCTAATATTGCCGAGTTTTCTCTTTCTCTGTAGAAAAAGGAGGTGGTGGCAGTGTGAAGGGTTAATTGCGTAATTAACCTGACTCAGTAACAATCGCTCCTAGGCTACAGGTACACAGATTGTGGTCCATTAGCTGGAAAATCTTTGTGCAGGGTGCAGC